TATACTCATTATAAAACCATCACATTAATGTCTCATAAACATTTTATGCTTGCACAATGAGTACAAGGTCATATTTCATGTTTTCAGTTGCTAGAAAATATTGATGTAATGATCTTGAAAATCACTATTGTTAATACATTTGCTCATACATAGATTAAAAATGTGTTTCATTAATCAGACCTGGGTATTCCAAGGGAGCAAGGAGCCTGCTCATGGGCTACACCAAGTTTAACAAATTCTGACATTAACCCTCTTACAACTTTGTTCTTATTACTATTAAATTATGTGTTTTGAGTCATTTTATAATATTTTTTCATTATTTGATTCATTGTATACTGCCCAGTGTAAAGTAGGCAGCTGTATAAATGTGATAAATAAATAGATAAATATTGTTAAGAGAAACTAATATGCAGTTGGAGAAGATAGTTAACTAGTATCATTTAGCATGCATTTTTATTAAGAGAGTGTGGTCACTGATAACATATGCATTGATAACATTTAAAATGTGTTAAAGCTTATTCTTGGCCACTTCTTGACTCCTAAACAGTACTAACCACAGTTACTGTACATGTGCAGACAATTTTCCAATCATTAAACAATAGGACAAAGGTAAAGATTATTGTGTCTACAAATTTCCTACTGCTTCAATACTGGGCCACCCAGTTGTAATGTAATGCAAAGGGGAAGAAAGTCTTGTTTATTGAGGGAAGATGGAGATTGAGCTGTAGTTCTTTTTTGATCATTTAAAGCTTTTCATGGTCTGGTTGCACACAAAGGTTGTGTTCTTCCTAATTTCCAGGGGGTTGTGAAAGTGCAGGTGATCCCGCGCTGTGAGCTGAAGGGACCAATCCCAAACAGAAGGAAATTTCAGGCCTTTCTCATCACCTAGCTGAATATTTTTTCTGATGGCAAATTCTGGGCTTTGCTTTACTCTCTGATATGCAGAATTGAAGAGGAAAGTATCAAACAGTGAGATTTGTGTGCAGTCATGCAATATGGTCAAATAAGCTTCAGAAAACTCAAAGGCCAATGGGTACTGCTTGAGCAGCTATTGGACATAATCAAGGAACATCAGGAACAAAGGAGACTCTTTGTCAGATTTCTTCAAGTGATTATACCTATCCAGAAATGGATGTCCTGCCATGAGCCATCCTGAATCAGGCTCTGAAATCCAGCAATGGTCCAAAAATGGAGATCCAACATCATCTGGATAAGAGATGCCACACTGCAGCTTAGGTCTCACTTTTCTTCCTCTTGTAAAATTACTGAAACATGTTTGCTGTCCAGCATGTAGACTAGTTGTTCAGAATGCTTCAGGAAGTTTCTCACATACTCCAGCCAACATGAATTTTCCAGCAAGGAAAGCCACTTCTCAATTTCTTCAAAAGGCTCACATATAACTGCTTCAATTTGAGGAAAGCCATCTTTCATTCTTACAAACTGAATTCATGCAACACAATCAAATAGCAATGGTTAGAACAAATGTAGCTGTGTGTTGGGTTTTGGTATTTTTTACATTCCTTCTTCTTGCAGACATTTCATTAGCAGACTAGATACTATCATCAATGCCTCGATGTGGGTAGCAATGCCCTGATGTTGGTTGGTTTATATGTAGCTGCTTCTCCAAATAACCTCTCATGGATATGAGCAGGATATATTGCTTGGGCTATTTCTTCTTTGGTTGGATATGCTATTACCTGGTGCTTATCTCATTAGCATTTTCTAATGTAGGGAATAGCCACATAATTTTACAAAAAATATCCATCCTCTCAATCAATTACAGCACAATTGGCACAATTTAGACATAGGAACAACAACAAAGAGCCAGTTTGGTGTAGTAGTTAAAGCACCAGACTAGAAACTGGAAGACTGGGAGTTCCAGTCTTGATGACTTCTAAGTCATAGCTAAGCTATGATACCTAGTATGCTGATCAGTTGTTGGGAGACTTGATTTGCCCTGTGGTGGAAGAATGGAACTAGTAGAGCTGATTGTTGCACATTTATCACACTGACACTCAGTTCAAATATTACCATTTATATTGTAGAGGAAGATCATATTAAGTAATTTCCAGTTTTAATTTGTGATGTGATGTCAATCACAGTGTTTACATGTGCTTCATTGATTTTGAAAAAGCTTTTGATAAAATAAGACACAGCAAACTATTAGAAATCCTGAAACAAGGGGGACTAGATGACAAAGACATCCAAATCATAAAGAATCTGTATTGGCATCAGGTAGCAAATGTGAGACTAGGTCAAAAATACTCAGCTGATGTAGAAATAAGAAGAGGGGTCAGACAGGGATGTATTCTGTCTCCACTGTTGTTCAATATCTACCCTGAGTCAATCTTCAATGAGGCGCTGGAGAACATCGATGCTGGCATCAAAGTAAACGGTGTTTGGATCAACAACTTAACATATGCTGATGATACAGTTCTGCTTGCCAGTAAGCATGAAGACCTTCAGCTCCTCATCAATATAGTCACAGAAATATCTGAAAAATACGGCTTGAAGCTTAACACCTCAAAAACCAAGATCATGGTTGTCAGCAAACAACCCGTTAATTTACCATCAACAAATTCAGAAGGAATACCACTAGAAAAAGTTGAAAGGATCACACACCTCAGTTCCAATTTACATGAAAGCTGGGACATGACCGTTGAAGTAAAGACAAGGATAGAAAAAGCTCGAACAGCATTTTTCAAAATGAAAAAGGTCTTCTGCAGTCACGACATAAGCCTAAGACTGAAAATCAGGCTTGTCAGATGCTATATTTTTTCTAATCTGCTCTATGGAGTAGAGAGTTGGTCTCTGACAGAAGGCCATCTGAAGAGACTAGAAGCATTTGAAATGTGGATTTACAGGCGGCTGTTACGTATAAGCTGGGTTGACAAGATCAGAAATGAGGAGGCCGCCTGGGAAAGCCAAGGGAAATCATAAAAACAATTAAAAATCGAAAATTATAATATTTCAGACATGTGATGCGACACACAGAAAAATACTGCATACTCCATTTAATCCTCCAGGGAAAGATTGAAAGTCCAGGCAGAAGAAGAACATTGTGGCTTCAAAATCTAAGGGACTGGTTTGGACAAAACTCAGCAGCACTTTTTCATGTGGCTGCTGATAAAAACAGGATCGCCAACATGATTGCCAACGTCCAATAATGGATATGGCACAACAAGAAGAAGAAGTTTTAATTTTTGGCTTATTAACATGAAATATATCAGAAAGAACTTTATTTAATCTAGGTTAAAAGTATAAACTGCCTCCAAAAATAGATCTCTTTCTGAAACTATTGCAGATTTTAAATAAAGTGCTATCAATTTGACTACTTCAGAAATATATGTAGTATATATATAGTTTAGCATCTGTAATATATATTGTTTAGAATGAAGAGATAATCTAGGCAATATTTAACTTTTCATTTTAAAAAGTATACAATATAAGTAGCTTATCTTTGCATCCAGAAGGAAAACCTCTAGTTTGATTGCCTTTCAAAAAAGCTGAGAAGGATATTTCTTCCATTAGGTGCTTTTGAAATTCTACTCTGAATCAATAATATAAAATATATGCTGTACATATGCATATGGATGGGTATGGGGTTCTGGTTTTGTTTTGGTCTGTTTTTCTTTTTCTTTACTTTCTTAACAGTAATAGTAGTTTTTATTACTCCAAAAAATAATAATAAAGCAGAATATGTTTAAATGGGATCATCATATTTACAAGTGACCCCAGTTTGTGTTTGTGTCTGTATGTGTGCACCTGTGTGCATGTGAGTTAAGATAGTTCAGAAAGATACTACATCAACATGCCCAGATCAAATTTCTATTATTTCTCTTAGATATTCTGATAGTTCATACCTTTAGAAAATCTCTTGCCCAATCAAGAATGAAATCTGAAGATAGAAATTGGAATTATGTATACTCTGAGAAGCAGAAGAGATTAATTGCATTTATTTAGATGGGTTGCAAGAGATATTTTTTTGTCCTAGAATATATTTCAGTGATTTTCTAGATTTCATCATGTTTATAAAATATTCTTGGCTGCCACTGGAGAGAAGTAGGTGCAATCCACAGAGTAGCGTATTCCTCTGTGAATAAATCTACTGAATTTGAGAATGTAAATTGTTCTATTAAATGATACGATTTATAAATATTTTTAATGGCCAAGATTCATTTCCCAAGACACTGGAAGAATACCACAAACTCTTCCTGACTGATAATCAAAACAAGGTAAGTCTGCTACAGTTTATTTGACGGTGGACTAAATCAATATACATAAGAACTGTGGGAGAGAAAGGTATATGAAAGAATTTTGATAAAATACTCCTATATAATAAAAAGTAGTTGGAGTTCATAAAATGCAAAACATCCTGCTTTGAAATAGGAAAATATGAAATAGCAACCATAGGTAGTCTTCGACTTATAACCCAAATTGAACCCCAACTTAATGTTTTTAAGTAAGAAATTTGTTAAGTGAGTTTTGCGCCATTTTATGGCTTTTCTTGACACATTTGTTAATCACTGAAGTTGTTAAGTTAGTAATATAGTTATTAAGTGAATCTGAATTTCCCATTGACTTTGCTTGTCAGAAAGTCACAAAAGGGAATTACTTGACCCTGGGACACTGCAACCATCATAAATATGAACCAGTTGTGGTAGGAAACATCTAGATAATAGAGTATTTCTTAATTATTGTTGACCTTGAACTGGTCTGAGAAATCAGAATGAAATCCACCTTCGTCTGGGGAACTTCAGTGAAGGGCCTTGAGTGACTCATTCTCTTGCTTTTTCCTCTCAGGTTATTTCAAAATCAATTTTCTGGTTACAGCTTGATAGTAGATTCTCACATAAACAATTAATGTAAAATATTGGTGTATTGAATGGAATAAAGTGAAACTGCACATAGTTTGATTGGACAATGCCAACAATTGTGAAGAATATATGGTACACTTATAATAATAAGTTTAGACATGAATATAGTTCCCGAATTTATTTTCACTGAAAAGTGTAAGTCTTTTTTCCAAAAAACTTTCTGATCACCATTTTAACCTCCCGATTTCTCAAAGTATATATTAGTGGGTTCAAAACTGGAGTAATTGTGCTATAAAGGAGGGTTAATATCATATCTCGTTGAGAGGAGTTACCCACAGTGGGAAGCATGTAGTTAGACAACACAGGAATGTAGAGTAAAGCCACTACAGTTAGATGGGAACTACAGGTGGAGAAGGCTTTTTGCCAGCCACTTTGGGACTGCACGTTACAGAGAAGGAAAGTGATAATGTAGAGGTAGGAGAGGAGTATGAAGATGAAAGGACCCATGACAACAGAGCTAGTTACAATACTGAGAAGCATGAGATTGAAATCTATGCTACCACAGGCCAGTTTCAACAATGGCTTGATGTCACAGATAAAGTGTTCAACTATATTTGGCCCACAGAAGGGAAGATGAGCAGTCATTATTGTATGCATCAAGGCATGGAAAAAACCAGTTGATAAGGCAGCAGCTGCCATTAAAACACAAAATTCTTTTTTCATGGTAACAATATAGTGCAATGGGTTGCATATTGCTACATAGCGGTCATAGGCCCTGATTCCAAGGAGAATGCCTTCACTGCTACCCAAAAAATAGAAGAAAAATAACTGGACCATGCAGCCATTGAAAGAGATGGTCTGTAGCTCTGTTAGAAACCCAGACAACATCTTTGGAATAGTTATTGTGGAGTGAAATATATCAAGACAGGAAAGATTTCCGAGAAAAAAATACATGGGGCTACGAAGGCAAGGTTCAGCTAAAACTACAATCACAATAGCTCCATTCCCCACTAATGTGGCCATATAGAGTAGGAGAAAAATTGCAAAGAATATATACCGAAGCTCCAAATCCTTGTTCAGGCCCAGTAAGATGAATTCTTCCACTTCTGTTTGGTTCTTCATCACTAAAAAGAAAGTAGAAAGATACAAAGCAGGAAAGAAATTAATGTTCAGGATTTGAAATTGATTTTGTAGGCAAAAAAGGCAGAGGGGGGTAAAAGTGAGAAGAAAACAATCATAAAAATGTCTACTAAGATAGATATAAGAAATAAAGGATAGATTAAATAGCTATTTATCTGAGGCATAACATATTTCCCACTATGGTAGAAATTAAGGAATTAAACATTGGTATTTGGATAAAAAAGGCAAAATGTTTTTATGCAAATATATGTTGATATCAAAACATATGGACAGATTTAACCATAGGTTCAATTGGGTAACTATGGCCATGCCAAGTCCAAAAATACTAGGGTATTTCTAGAAACCTGGCTCTGACAAATTAGCCATCAACAGATACATAAATACAAACAGTGTCTATATATTATACAAGAGACAATCAACAAACCAAAAAAGGAACAAAAAGGCCAAGCACCTCCCCACCAACAATCAACACTCCAATGAGCATAGATTAATTCTAAGATTAACATCATACCAACAATCAAATAAAACATACTCCAATCAAGGAACCACCAAATAAACCAACAGTAAACTGTCCATCCTCATCAACACTGAGAGAGCAAAACATTTGAATATAAACTGAGAGTAAATCCCATTTTTTAGTAAAACTGATGATATTACCTAGTTTGGATAATTAAATGTCTGCAAAACAACAACAACTACTACCAAGCTCAGATAGCACCAAGGTCCCCTCATTTCAACCCTGGGCTATAAATATTCTCTTTTATTAAAGTCATAAAGACATTTTTAATGATTATATAAACTGTTCCAGTATTTCATATAGTTTATGCATATAAAGGAAAAAAAACCAGACCAACCTATCAAAAATAGTGCCATAAAAAAACAGAATAGAATTCACAAGTTAAGATAGGCAAGAAAATGGTAAGTGAGCACCTGTCCAAACTAGACGAGTTCAAATCACCAGGACTAGATGTACTGCACCCCAGGGTTCTCAAGAAACTGGCAGATGTGATCTCAGAACCACTGAACTATATTTTTCAAAGATCCTGGAGCACTGGGGAACTACCGGAGGACTAGAAAAGAGCTGATGTAGTTCCCATCTTCAAAAAAGGGAAAAAATGGATCCAGGAAATTAAAGACCTATCAGCCTGACCTCAATACTGTTGTGTTCTTTGTATTCCCCCCCCCCTTAATCCCCTATGCATATCCTGATCACCCATTAAGGGTGATTGCCCTTCACCATTGATCGCCCATTAAGGGTGATTGCCCTTCTCCATCTGCATACAGTTTCATGCCCGTTGCTGGTTGGCTAACTAGCAACAGGGTCTTACCAGCCAATGGAATTGTGTGATTACAAGCNCCCCTGGCCCAGAGAGCCAGTCCGGATTTACTTGATGCCTTGCCAATAAACCGAGAGCTGACTGTCACTCGACTCGTGTCTTACTGCCTGCGCGATCCAACACTGGCGACGAAGGTGGGATCCCAGTAAGACTGCACGACAAGGGCAACCTCGTGGCAAGCAATCTACTTCGAAGCAAGAGCTCCTCCACGCAGCCTTCAGAAGCAAGAAACTATCCGCGACTCCAAGATGACTTCCACCCCGAAATTCTCGTCTTCCCTACCGGCATTCAACCCAGAAACGAACGACTGGGATGCCTACATGGGAAGATTCGAGCTACACCTGACCGGGAATGGGCAAAAAAGCATTCCCGGGGATCAGAAGAAGGCTTTATTCCTCGCAAACTGCGGAGACGAGGTCTACCACGTGGCCCGCTCCTTGGTCGCTCCAGCCAGCATCGAGGACACCCCTTGGGCAGATATCCAATGTCTGCTGGCTGGTCAGTACGGGATCTCCGAAGGGTTCCTAGTCGCATGGAACCGCTTCTACAACCGACGACAACGGGCGGGCGAACCCATCAGGAAGTACCTCGGAGAGCTCCGATCGATCGCAGCCCGATGCGAGTTCATCGCCCTAGAAAATATGCTGCGGGACCGACTCGTCATTGGTATGAGGGACGAGCACGTGAAGAAGCGACTCATCGTGCGGCGAAGTCTCACCCTCAGCGAAGCACTAGACGAGGCCCTCGCAGCAGAAGAGTCCGAATCCACGGCCACCGATGAGACGGGGTGACATCCATCGCACCCATCGCGAGCCAACCCCCGATCCGGAGGCCACCGAATCAGACGAGGCCGGCGAGGAAGAGACCGTCCATCGCACCGCTACCAGCCGGAAGCAGCAAGCATGGCGAGACGAGCGGGATGACCTCGAGTGTCCAGGGTGTCTGGGGAACCACAAACAAGCAAACTGTCGGTTCCTAGACACCACGTGCAGCCGCTGCCTGAGGCGAGGACACATCGCAAAAGCATGCCGAGCCTCACACCCGAGTTCCAGGAAACAGCGTTCGCCCCCACGGAGGCACACGTCTCCACCACGACGATTCCCATCGCGCCGCTCACTGCCACACCACTCGCCGCGCCATAGACTGCATGAGAACAGATGGAAGGGGTCAGCCCTACCCGAAGGGAGGCGTGACCAGAGAAGGGGCTACGACGACCAGGACGAGCGCAAGGTGCACCACATGGTTGTCAGCCACACCAACTCGACTGGCGCAGAAAAGTTTTTCGCAACAGTCATGATCGGGAGGCGACCATGTAAGATGGAGGTGGATATGGGATCCATCTGTTCCATCATGTCGTGGGACAAGCTCAAAGGACTGCTGCCGGAGCTGTCCCACACCGCCCTGGAGAAACCAAAGGGACGGCTCTTAGACTTCAACGGCCACGAGCTTCGCGTGCTAGGTCGAGCACGGGTGGACGTCTCGTTCCGGGGACACAAAGCTCGCCTACCACTAACCGTGGTGGAGGGCCATCGACCCACCTTGCTCGGTGTCGAGTGGCTCAAACCCCTGGGGCTGGGATTCATCGGCCTACACAGAATCCACAAGGACGAGTTCGAGCAGCTGTCGGAGGAGTTCCTGGACGTGTTTGATGGCTCACTGGGTAAATACCGGGGGAAACCCATTTCGCTGAACCTAGATCCCAGTGTTGCCCCGATCCGATTGAAGCCCCGCCGTGTCCCTTTCGCCCTACGACACAAAGTGGATGAACAGCTAGACAAACTGCTAGCCCAAGGGGTCATCAAGCCGGTGGACCACGCCAAGTGGGAAACGCCCATCGTCCTCCCCCTTAAGCCAGATGGATCCTTGCGGGTGTGTGCCGATTACAAAGGAACCATCAACAAGGCTTTGCAACCCCATGCGTATCCCGTCCCCGTAGTACAGCATCTTTTACACTCGGGGGACGGGAACGTGTTTGCGAAGCTGGATCTCGCTCAGGCGTACCAGCAGTTGCTGGTGGATGAAGCCACCGCAGAAGCCCAGACCATAGTGACTCACCGGGGGGCGTTCAAATGCAACCGACTCCAATTCGGGGTGAGCGTAGCCCCAGGACTTTTTCAGAGCGTCATGGAGCGGTTGCTGCAAGGCATTCCGGGGGTGGTGCCGTATTTCGACGATGTCCTCATCTCCGCGACATCGAG